GAGGGGAGGTGTGGGTGAGTGAGGTGCAGGTGGGGTGAGAGGGCAGGTGGGAGTGACTGAGGGCAGGTGAGGGTGACTGAGGTGAGTGAGGGCGGGTGGGGGATGAGAGCTGGACAGTGAGAGAAAACTATTAAATCATAAAGGTAATGGATCACTTACCTGTCTTGGGTACACCTGTGGTAACGAGTGGTGGTGGTGAAGGAAACAAGAGAAGAGCAGTCGACCCTCCGTCCCTCCACTCTCACCTCCTCCACTCCCTCACCCTCCTCCTCTTCACCCTCCCTCCACCTCACCCTCCACTCTCACCCCTCCTTCACCTCACCTCTTCACCCTCCCTCCACCTCACCCTCTCTCCTCCTCCACTCACCCTCCCTCCACTCTCACCCTCCTCCACTCTCACCTCCTCTCCACTCTCACCCTCCTCCACTCTCACCTCCTCCACTTTCACCCTCCTCCACCTCACCCTCCTCCACTCTCACCTCCCTTCACTCTCACCTCCCTCCACTCTCACCTCCCTCCACTCCTCACCCTCCCTCCACTCTCACCCTCCCTCCACTCACCCTCCCTCCACCTCACCCTCCACCCACTCCTTCACCCTCCCTCTCACCTCACCCCACCCACTCCTCACACCCTCCTCTCACCCTCCACCTCACCCTCCACCTTTCACCCTCCACTCTCACACCCTCCACCCACCTCACCTTCCTCCTCTCTCACCTCCCTCCACCACACCTCCTCCCACCTCACCTCCTCCTCCACCTCACCTCCACCTCACCTCCTCCACTCTCAACCTCCACTCTCACCCTTCCTCCTCCACTCTCACCTCCCTCCACTCTCACCTCCACTCTCACCTCCACCCACTCACCCTCCACCTCCTCACCCTCCGCCTCACCCTCCCCTCCACTCCTCACCCTCCGCTGGGCTCCCTCCCTCTCCACTCTCACCCTCCCCTCCACCTCACCTCCGCTCTACCCTCCTCCCCTCCACTCACCCTCTCACCCACCTCACCCCACCTCCACTCTCACCCTCCTCCACTCACCTCCCTCCACCTCACCTCCACTCTCACCCACCTCCTCTCTCACCTCCTCCACCTCACTCACCTCCTCTCTCACCCTCCCCTCCACTCTCACCTCCTCCACTCTCACCTCCACTCTCACCTCCCTCACCTCACCCACTCTCACCCTCCCTCCACTCACCTCCACCCCACCTCCACCTCACCCTCCACCACCCTCCACTCTACCTCCCTCCACCTCCTCACCCCTTCACCCACTGACCCCACCTCCACCTCACCCTCCCTCCACTCCTCACCCTCCCTCCACTCTCACCCTCCACTCTCACCCACCCTCCTCTCTCACCCTCCACTCCTTCCCACCTCCTCTCCTCACCTCCTCCACTCACCTCCCTCCACTCTCACCTCCCACTCTCACCTCCCACTCTCACCCTCCACCTCACCCACCCTCCCTCTCTCACCCTCCACTCCACTCTCACTCACCCTCCACTCTCACCCCCCTCCACTCCTCACTCACCCTCGTCTCACCCTCCCTCCACTCTCACCCACCTCTTCTCTCACCCTCCACTCTCACCCTCCCTCCACTCTCACCCTCCACGCTCACTCCACCTCTTCTCACCTCCACTCTTCACCTCCCCTCCACTTTCACACCCTCCACTCTCTGGTTCTTCACTCTGCACTCCACTCCTCCCTCCCACCCTTCTCACCTAATCTCCTCCCATCCCACCTCCCATCTCCCTCCCACCCCACCCTCCCTTCACCCTGCCCTCACACCCACACCTCACCCTCCTCCACCTCACCCCCACCTCACCCTCCACTCTCACCCGCCACACTCTCACCCACCTCCCTCCCACCCTCCCTCCTCACCCACCCTCCCATCCCACCCTCCCATCTCTCCCTCCCACCCCACCCTCCCTTCTCACTCCTGCCCTCTCACCCGCCACTCTCACCCACCCTCTTTCTCGCCTCCACTCTCACCTCCTCCACTCTCACCTCCACTCACCCACCTCCCTCCCACCCTTCCTCTCACCCACCTTCCCATCCTACCTCCCAACTCACTCCTCCCATCCCACCTCCCTTTCTCACTCCTGCCTCTCACTCCTTCCCCTCTCACACTCTTTCCTGTTACTCCACTGCCCAAAACAACCCACCACCCTCCGGCTATTAATGATGCTCAATCACTCGTTCTGATGGTCGATGAAACAATTGCCTGACATTCTTTAGTAGGAACAGAGTGTGTGTGTGTGTGTGTGTGTGTGTGTGTGTGTGTGTGTGTGTGTGTGTGTGTGTGTGTGTGTGTGTGTGTGTGTGTGTGTGTGTGTGTGTGTGTGTGTGTGTGTGTGTGTGGGAGAGAGAGAGTGATGACCACCTGTCTTTGCTATATAAGGTCATTTGCACCAAAACGTCTCCCTATAAGTTGTGTTATTTGTGTCTTACTGTACCTGTAGCTGTACCTGCAACCTGTACCCTGTAGCTGTACCTGTAACATGTACCTGTAGCTGTACCTGTAACATGTACCTGTAGCTGTACCTGTAACATGTACCTGTAGCTGTACCTGTAACATGTACCTGTAGCTGTACCTGTAACATGTACCTGTAGCTGTACCTGTAACATGTACCTGTAGCTGTACCTGTAACATGTACCTGTAGCTGTACCTGTAACATGTACCTGTAGCTGTACCTGTAACATGTACCTGTAGCTGTACCTGTAACATGTACCTGTAGCCAGTATCTGTAACATGTAAAGTGGTACCCGTACCTGTAACATGTACTCCCAGCTGTACCTGTAACATGCACCTGTAGTTGCACCTGTAACATGTACCTGTAGCTGTACCTGTAACTCAGGACCTCAGAATGTACCTGTAACATGTACCCAGAAGGTACCTGTAACATGCACCTGTAGCTGTACCTGTAACATGTACCTGTAGCTGTACCTGTAACATAGTACCCAGAAGCTGGTATTCCTGTAACATTGCACCGTAACATGTAATTCTGTAATACGTACCTGTATGTACCCTGTAGCTGTACCTGTATTACAAAATTTCAGAAGGTAATTGCAACATGTACCTGTAGCTGCACCTGTAACCTGGTGGCCTCCTGTAGGCCAGTACCTGGTAATACGTGTACCTGTAGCTGTACCTGCAACATGTACCCAGAAGGGTGGCCTGGTAACATGCAATTCGTAACATGCACCCAGCGTACCCAACATGTATTCGTAGCTGTACCTGTAACATGTACCTGCATGTACCTGTAACATGCACCTGTAGCTGTACCTGTAACATGTACCTGTAGCTGTACCTGTAACATGTACCTGTGGAAGGTACCTGTAACCTGTACCTGTAGCTGTAACCTGTAACATGTACCAGGTACCGTAACATAAAATTCTGTAGCTGTACCTGTAATATGTACCTGTAGCTGTACCCGTAACATGTACCTGTAGCTGCACCTGTAACATGTACCTGTAGCTGTACCTGTAACCAAAATTCTGTAGCTGTGTACCTGTAACATGCCTGTAGCTGTACCTGTAACATGCACCTGTAGCTGTACCTGTAACATACCTGTGGAAGGTACCTGGGTAACATGCACCTGTAGCTGTACCTGTGTAACATGTACCTGTAGCTGTACCTGTAACACAAAATTCTGTAGCTGTACCTGTAACATGTGAATTGTAGTCAAAATTGTAACATGTACCTGTAGCTGTACCTGTAACATGTACCTGTAGCTGTACCTGTAACATGCACCTGTAGCTGTAACCTGTACCTGTAGCTGTACCTGTAACATGTACCTGTAGCTGTACCTGTAACATTTACCTGTAACTGTAGCTGTACCTGTAACATGTACCTGTAGCTGTACCTGTAACATGTACCTGTAGCTGTACCTGTAACATGTACCTGTAGCTGTACCTGTAACCTGTGCCTGTAACCTGTACCTGCAGGTGTGCCTGTAACCTGTGCCTGTAGCTGTGCCTGTATCCTGTACCTGTAGTTGTATCTGTAACTTGTAGCTGTACCTGTAACCTGTACCTGTAACCTATAGCTGTACCTGTAACATGTACCTGTAACCTGTACCTGTACCTGAACCTGAAACCTGTACCTGTAGCTGTAACCTGTAGCTGTACCTGTGCAAAGACACTCTATGTATACCTGTATTTGTATATTTACCTGCCTATCGGGGTTAAGTATATTTTTCGGATCCGTCTGTCTGTCTGTCTGTCTGTCTGTCCCCAAGGCCCACATGATACAATAATGTTAACACTCGCGTTAAAATTCACCAAGTGTTATCATGGTGACGGTATGTATGTATGTATGTATGTATGTATGTATGTTTGTATGTATACCTGCATATAATATTAACTCACATTCAACAACATAACGAAACGAAAAAAAAAAACTAATTAATTAAGAGAAATGAAAAGATTCACAACATATCACATCTCTTATATGATAAAATATATACCATAATATATCGTTCATTTGAGTCCTTGTATCACTCACATAAACCTAACAAGAGTTTTCCTCACACGTAATATATAATAAAAACTCATTATATTTTACGGATTATATAAATCGTTAACTCATCCTTGTTACAGAATTTCTCTCAAAAAAATCGTAAAAAAAAATTATCATTGATTTTTATGGTATTTGTTTATTTGTGTATTTATTTGTTTCATATTGTTATTGTTAAAATGTTTTGTGCTGGGCGCTCATAGTCGACCTAGTTGAAAAATGTCCCCCTTTTTTTTTTTTACAATTTTGGGAAAATTAAAGATCTATAGTGCGTTGACCTACCCTCTGACCTGACCTACACCATGTTGACCTACCCTCTGACCTACACTATGTTGACCTACCCTCTGACCTACACCATGTTGACCTCCCCTCTGATCTACACCATGTTGACCTACCCTCTGACCTACACCATGTTGACCTACCCTCTGACCTACACCATGTTGACCTACCCTCTGATCTACACCATGTTGACCTACCCTCTGACCTACCATGTTGACCTACCCTCTGACCTACACCATGTTGACCTACCCTCTGACCTACACCATGTTGCACCTACCCTCTGATCTACACCATGTTGACCTACCCTCTGCCTACACCATGTTGACCTACCCTCTGACCTACACCATGTTGACCTACCCTCTGACCTACACCATGTTGACCTACCCTCTGATCTACACCATGTTGACCTACCCTCTGACCTACACCATGTTGACCTACCCTCTGACCTACACCATGTTGACCTACCCTCTGACCTACACCATGTTGACCTACCCTCTGATCTACACCATGTTGACCTACCCTCTGACCTACACCATGTTGACCTACCCTCTGACCTACACCATGTTGACCTACCCTCTGACCTACACCATGTTGACCTACCCTCTGATCTACACCATGTTGACCTACCCTCTGACCTACACCATGTTGACCTACCCTCTGACCTACACCATGTTGACCTACCCTCAGTCTACACCATGTTGACCTACCCTCTGATCTACACCATGTTGACCTACCCTCTGACCTACACCATGTTGACCTATGCAACAGGTGGGATGCTGACACGACATAAACAAACACAACAGACAGTATGTGATACAAACGCAAACAAACACGACAGACATTGTATGACGCAAACAAACACAACAGACAGTATGTGATACAATGCAAACAAACACGACGGACGGTATGTGACGCAAACAATCACAACGTACAGTATGTGACGCGTCATAAACGAGCTCGACAGACGGTATGTGATGCAAACAAACACGACAGACAGTATGTGATACAATGCAAACAAACACGACGGACGGTATGTGACGCAAACAATCACAACGTACAGTATGTGACGCGACATAAACGAGCTCGACAGACGGTATGTGATGCGATGCAAACGAACACGACAGACGGGATGTGACGCAAACAAACACACTGGACAGTATGTGATGCGATGCAAACAAACACGACGGACGGTATGTGACTCAAACAAACATGACGGACGTTATGTGACTCAAACAAACACGATGGACGGTATGTGACTCAAACAAACACGATGGACGGTATGCTTGACTCAAACAAACATGACGGACAGTATGTGACGCAAACAAATACGACGGACGGTATGTGACACAAACAAACACGACGGACGGTATGTGACGCAAACAAACACGACGGACGGTATGTGACGCAAACAATCACAACGTACGGTATGTGACGCGATGCAAACAAACACGATGGACGGTATGTCACGCAAACAAACACGACGGACGGTATGTGACGCAAACAAACACGACGGACGGTATGTGACGCAAACAATCACAACGTACGGTATGTGACGCGATGCAAACAAACACGATGGACGGTATGTCACGCAAACAAACACGACAAATAGAATGTAAAGTGACGCAAACGAACTCTCGACAGATGGTATGTGACGCAATGCAAACACGACGGACGGTATATGACGCGACTCAAACGAACGCAAAAGACGAGAACAAAACTCACGCGACCACTGCCAGAACACGACATAACATTCCATCAACACGCTCGATGTTATGACCTGAACAGAAAGGGAAGAACACAGCAATATATTCGATAACAAGAGAACAGTGTATGTATTTATCAATGTCCCACATGCTTAATTAATGTGCCTGGCGACATATGGAAGGTGTTAATGTCTCACTTGCCATACGTCGCCTATAGAGCACTTGACCAGCGGACAGGTTGAGGAGCGCTACTCCCCTTGTGTACATATCTCTTATCCAGTAAATCGAACCTACAAAATCTATACAGGTGTTTGTGTTCGCTCCTGTATATTGAACTTATTACCCAGAACACGAACAAACAGCTTCATACTTCACACCTGTCCAACCTTCTAACCTAACCTAAGAAAACCAAAGCAAAACAAACCTAAACCTCCCCTAAACCAAAGAGACATCAAAACATCATCAACTCTAACTCAACATCATCCTGAACCAACCAGAACACGAGGCTGGAGGAGAGAGAGAGAGAGAGAGAGAGAGAGAGAGAGAGAGAGAAGGCCAAGTTGACGACCCGAGGTATATACTATCATGTGTCAAGTAAGGATCATAACAGGGAAGAGTGAGGCGAGGGAGGGGGGACGTTCCATCTGAGGGAGATCTACTGATAGGTTTGTGTGTCCTTGTAAAAACCCGCGGCCGTAGTGTGAGCTGCAGGGCCTGATACGGTTCCTCCTCCGTCTGGGGCCATAAAGCTGGCTATCTAATTATGGCCGGGGCGGGAGTGAAGGGCACCTGGAGCGGGGTTACTGCGGCACCTTCAACTTACACTCCTACCCAGCAGGGTATTGGCACCTCACACATCCTCTCTTAATAAAGTGGCACTTCTTCTTCTTCTTCTTCTTCTTCTTTTTGTTGCTCCTCCTCCTATTCTTCTTCTTCTTCTTCTTCTTCTTCTTCTTCTTCTTCTTCTTCTTCTTCTTCTTCTTCTTCTTCTTCTTCTTCTTCTTCTTCTTCTTCTTCTTCTTCTTCTTCTTCTTCTTCTTCTTCTTCCTCCTGCTAATCCTCCTCCTCCTCTTTCTCCTCCTCCTTCCCCCCACCTTGGTCCTCTATCCTCCCCTCTTTGACAAGCTCTTACCTTTTAACTGACAGTGCCACCCCTTCCACAGGTATCTCGTAACTGGCACTCTCTTACCCATCTGACAGACAGTGGTACCTTTGACTTCTTCTCTTGCTGACACTCTTTTCGCTGGCAGACAGTGCCACGCTCTGACTTCTATTCCTACACTCCCTTGCCCCTCTGACTGACATTACTACACCACCCCCTCAGCCCCCTCCCCCCAGGTCAGGTTTTTGCTCGTATTGACACTCTCGCCGTGTCCAATAGACCCTCAATTACTCCTGTTGACACAGTAACCCGGCCAAGACGCGAACCTCTCCTCCCTCACCCGCTGTTTTGGTTTGTCTTGTCGCCGTGGCCCAGGGGGGATAGAAGGGAGTGGTAGAGAGGGGGGGAGAGAGAGACAAGGGAAGGAAGATTTAGTAAAGGGGGTGGGGAGAGGGAGGGGGAGGATGAGGAATGAAGGGAGGGAGGATGACGAGAGGGAGAGGGTTAATGAGTGAGAGATTGAGGGAGGTTAAGGAGAGGAGGGAGGAGATTGGGCAGGAAACGGAGGGGGAGGGATGGGGAAGGGAAAAGTGGGTGGTGGAGGAGGAGATGGTGAAGGCAGGGAGCCTGGTTAGGAGGAAGATGGTAGAAGAGGAGGGTGAAGGGAAAGAGGGAGGGTAGAGGGGAGGGAGTTAAAGAAAAAGGAGGAGGTAGAGAAGCGAAGGTTAGGAAGGAGGAGATTAATGAAGGAAGGAAAACTAGGGAAAGGAGGGAGGCTGGGTGAAGGAGGCAGGGGGGAGAGAAGGAGGGAGGCAGGGGGAGAGAAGGAGGGAGGCAGGGGTAGAGAAGGAGGCAGGAGAAGCAAAGGAAGCAGGGGAAGGGAAGGAGGCTGGGTAAAGGAGGGAGGCAGGGAGAGCGTAAGGGGGAATTTATGGGGAGGACCTCGCCCTTTACATCGTCATGAAGGCAGCCATAAGAGACGCTTATTATGTCATAGTTGGCTAATGGCCGGTCTAGCGTCACCTGAGTGTTGGGTCATCACCTGCCCGAGCCAACAGGTGTGTCTTACCTGCTCTCTCTCTCATACAACCCCAAACGTGTGTGTGTGTGTGTGTGTGTGTGTGTGTGTTACACTAAATAGGGATAATTATTCAATAGTGAAACTTCTATTTATTTTTTTGTCAAACCATAGACGACCACAATACATGTAAACCAATAGTTTCATACCAAACCTAATCTAGCCCTCCCCAAGTTAACCTAACATAACCTTACTTAACCCAACCTATTTTAGGTATAAATTATCTTATGATAATAAACGACGTCTAAAATGATATAGAGTCAATTTTATCATATTCGAATAAATTTGCAATAAGTTGTAACAATAGAATAAAAAAGTTAACACTATTTGTCAAAGACAGTTGTTGGTTTAAGGCTTAATAGGCCATTATCCCTATTAAGGATGACACACACACACACACACACACACACACACACACACACACACACACATATATATACACACACACACACACACTACACACACACACACACATACACACACACACACACACACACACACACACACACACACACACACACACATATATATATATATATATATATATATATATATATATATATATATATATATATATATATATATATATATATATATACATATATATATATATACAAACGGAGGTGCATTTGGTTAAAAACCTTACACCGTGATGGTGGGTGGCACCATTTGCATAATGAAAGTGAAGAACACAATTAAAGCAAGTGACCCTCAGGAAATAATCTCATCTAATTTCTGCTGGATAAAAGTAAGTCCAAGTCTTACCTTTTTGTTAAATTGGATTGTAATGTTAGTAATGACCCAGCGAGTGTTAGCAGGTCGCGAACCTCTAAGACCACCAAGAGGAGAGAGAGAGAGTGAGGGAGGTGAGGGAAGTGAGGGAAGTGAGGAAGATGAGAGAGGTGAGAGAGGTGAGGGAGGTAAAGTGCGTTAAGATGATGAGGTGTAAGAAACTCATGGCGTGCATAAGTGGGAGTGTCCCAGTGTGTTTAAGGATCATGTCTGTAGTAGTAGCTGCAGATATTGACTATGAGGCAACAGTCACTGAATGCCGCATAGATCTGCGGCTCAACACAGCTAGGATAGCTACTTGTGTATTAGGATATTTAATTTTAAGGTAATAAAATGGCGGCGAAGGTATGGCTATTGGGGGAGGCTGGAGGCCATTAAAAAAAAAAGCCCGTGTGGACGTCAGTGCTCGAGGATTCTGGATGAGGGGACAGCAAGCCTTCTTCGACGTCAGGATCTTTGATCCCATGGCCGCATGTCACCGTAACCTAGCTCTCGATGCTGCACACAGGAGGAACGATAACGACAAGATAAGGGCATACGGGGAGAGAATTCAGAACGTTGATCAAGGCAGCTTCACTCCTCTAGTGTTCACAACCTCTGGTGGGATGGGACCAAGTGCAAGATGCTTCTACGCCAGACTCGCGGAGGTGATCTCCGAACAGAAGCAGCAGCCCAGAAGTTATGTTACAGCCTGGATGAGATGTCGACTGTCCTCTCTCTGGCAGAAAAATCACCATCACCACCACCCTAATTACCACAATCAACACCACAACTACAACCACTGTCACTACCCCACCACCACTCTTATCACCATTAATACCACTGTCACCAACCCCATCACACTCTCAAGTCTCACCACTGTCACCATAACAACTATCGCCACCATCACCACCACTATCACCATATCTCACCACCCTTATCATCACAACCACTATCACCATATCCCACAACCACCACCACTATCAACCACCACCATCACCACACCCATCACCATCACCCCACACACACACACACACACACACACACA